TCTCAGAGGTATCTATGCCTATGGCTACGAGTCCCCGTCCGCCGTGCAGTCGCGCGCCATCGTGCAGATCTGCAAGGGCCGCGACACCATCGCCCAGGCCCAGTCCGGCACGGGAAAGACGGCCACGTTTTCGATCAGCATGCTGCAGGTTATCGACACGAGCCTGCGCGAGACACAAGCACTGGTCCTTTCCCCCACGCGCGAGTTGGCGACTCAGATCCAGAGTGTCGTTATGGCGCTGGGCGACTACATGAACGTGCAGTGCCACGCGTGCATCGGCGGCACGAACGTGGGCGAGGACATCAGGAAGCTCGACTACGGCCAGCACATCGTCTCGGGCACCCCCGGCCGCGTGGCTGATATGATCCGCCGCCGCCACCTACGGACCCGGCACATCAAGATGCTCGTCCTGGACGAGGCCGACGAGCTGCTGAACCAAGGCTTCCGCGAGCAGATCTACGACGTGTACCGCTACCTCCCGCCCGCCACCCAGGTCGTCGTTGTCTCCGCCACCCTTCCCTACGATGTGCTCGACATGACCACCAAGTTCATGACCGACCCCGTCCGCGTGCTGGTCAAGCGTGATGAGCTGACCCTCGAAGGCCTAAAGCAGTACTTCATCGCTGTGGAGAAGGAAGACTGGAAGTTCGACACACTCTGTGACCTTTATGACACCCTCACCATAACACAAGCCGTTATCTTCTGCAACACACGGCGGAAGGTGGACTGGTTGACGGACAAGATGCGTGAGGCAAACTTCACTGTGAGCAGCATGCACGGCGACATGCCCCAGAAGGAGCGCGACAGCATCATGCAGGACTTCCGCCAGGGCAACAGCCGCGTTCTGATCTCCACCGACGTCTGGGCCCGTGGTATCGACGTGCAGCAGGTCAGTCTAGTTATCAACTATGACCTACCGAGCAACCGAGAGAACTACATCCACCGTATCGGCCGATCTGGGCGTTTCGGCCGCAAGGGCGTCGCCATCAACTTTGTTACCAGTGAAGACGTCCGCATCCTCCGCGATATTGAGCGTAAGTGGCTGCCGCCTTCGACCTATACCGAGCAATCACGCTAATAACCATGCCAGTTTACTACTCTACCCAGATTGACGAGATGCCAATGAACGTAGCCGATCTTATCTCGTGAGCTAGGTCAAGGAGTCATTTCGGAATCATAAAGCCTCATAAGGCTGGGAACGCCAGGCGATATGGAGTCAAACTGCCGTTTCCTAAGGGACGTGGGAGGAAAGGGGCTTGCACATTAGCAGTGAGTTTCGTCACGAGACAGCCTATCGACTCAGCTAGGTTGGTTGCTAATCCTTTCAGCTAGGCTTATCAAATTGCCGGAATATTTACATAGCATGGACGACAGTCCACAACAAACCAGCTGTTCCTCAGACTTTCTTCTCGGTGAAGCGTAACCGTCGTCTACATCTCTTCCATCTCGGATTCTTCATAATCCGAACTACGCCGTGTCTTTTGGGACCTAAAGACGGCATGTCTTGCTTTGTCAATTGTGCTTGTATGTTGGAGACAACCTTCGAGCTGCGAGCTTTCTATATCGGCATGTGGAGCGATGGAGGGCGACTAGTGGATGGCACACCTACCATTAGTCCCAGAAAACCATGTCTCTCGGCATGGAAAATAGGATGCCGAAGCTTGATAGTTTATAGCAGCCGACTTGGTAGCATTTGCAGTCCGAGTTTACGAATGTCCCATGCTAGACTGGCCATCGGCCGTATGAATTAGACAACCCTTGGGGTGTTCTCTACCTCGATGCTTAACCCACTAGTCATGTTCTCCATGGCAATTAATGACTTGCTAAGTAGTCATTGTACCCTGCTCGCGATGGCCCCGGTGACTAATTCCTTTCCCCATTATGTTCCCAGCCTACCACCAACGAGCAGCCAAGAAGCTCATAGAGAAAGCTCATATGTATCTCACGTAAATATTTCGCCGTATCCGTTCCCAGGACCACGAAGCGTGTCTACTGTCTTCGTGTCTGCAGTCAAGAAAACGCCGAGGCCCAGCGGGAAGGGTTCATTGACCGATATGTCCGCCGGAGGCAGAGCGCGCCACACCGCCTGGATTCGTTTCGCCGTCGCGAGGAACTTGGTCTTGGACTCTTCGTAGCCCGCAGCTGTCAGCTTCCCATCCTTCTTGACAAACTTGCCGTCCACAAGCACAGCGTCGATATCGCCCACGCTGGCGTGCAGCATGACAGCTGCCACCGGGTCGGCCCAGCCCAGCAGCGGGGGCGAGGCGCCGTCCCAAACAACAAGGTCGGCCTTGGCGCCCTTGGCGATCACGCCGAGGTCGTCGCGGCGCAGCGCCAGGCCGCCGTGGCGCGTGGCTAGCAGGAATGCCTGGTTCACGCTCATGGGGTTGTTTGCGGGGACCTCCCACCCCTCGTCGACGTCCAGGGACAACTTGTAGCGCGTGCTCTGCAGCCAGAGACGCGCCTGCGTGAGGATGTCTGTGCTGAAGGTGAAGTGCGTGTCGACACCGAGAGCGGCTTGGTCCTGGATCAGGTGGCTCTTGGGGTGCCCGTGGCCGTAGTGCATCTCGGACTCGGGCGTGATCGAGATGTATTGGTTTGTGTTCCGCAGTAGGGTGGCACCCGCGGCGGTGAGATAGCTACCATGGGAGAAGACGATGGGGGTGCTGATGTTCAGCACGCCGAGCGCCTGGAGATCTTCCGGGGAGTTCGTGACTAGAGAGCGATTGTCAACATAAGTCCATCCTGTAAGATGCCTGCAGGGTGGGCCATACCGCTCCAAGGACCCCCCAGCGAGTGCGTAGTGATCACCGATACATTGAACTCGCTTTCCTTTAGTTAGCCGCGTGGAATTCATTTTGCTTTGTACGTGTATGGTCCTCACTTAGCAAGATCGACGACCGCCTTCGCCTGCTGCGGAGGAGAGATTGAGAAGCCATCATATGCAATGCCCAGACTGGTTGGCGTGCCCTTGTACGCCCCCTTCTCGGCGATGTCCCGGAACTTGGCCATGACATCAGAAAAGGTGTAGTTTGTAACGTCGTGGAACGATGGGCACCAGAACACCCTTGCCCCGCTGTCGATGCTGGCCTGGTAGCCCGCCTCGGTCGTGTCGTTGGACCACGTGTGGTGGGCATGGTCCAGAGTACTCGTCACACCGGCGTTGAGGGCTTCATATAGACCAATTAATTCGCTGATATACACGTCGTCTGCGCTCAACAGTCCATCCGACGCATATTCGCCGTACCGGTACCAGTACTCGACTAGGCTAGTGTTAGACCCAATTGTCTTGAAGACGGTCTGCCAGCCATGGCGGTGCGTGTCGATGAAGCCCGGTGTGATGATTTTGTCCGTCACGTCCACCACCTGAGCATCCGCCGGCGCGCCGCTTGGCGTGGCCGAGTCGGATATATCAACGATCAGGTCATCCTGCAGTAGTAGGGAGCCATTTCGAATAACTTGCAGGGCCTCGGTAGCACGGTCAAAGGCAATTATGGTCCCGCCGCTCAGCACGATCGATGACGCACTGGCAAAGGTGCTCATGCCAAGAGCGAGCTGTGAGACGAGCAAATTTGTGAAGTGCATGGCTGGCGAATCAGAGGTTTCCGGACGGGTTCTCGAATGGCTGTCTACCATGCAGTTGTGAGATGCATGGCGATACCCAAGAAGCCGCAAGAACCACACGCCTTGTCTCTCTTATACGAACCGTACCTTGACTCGTGGCTCTGCAGTCAGGGCGCCGAATTCCCTACTACAGAGGATCATACGCCCACCTGCTCACTGGCGTCAGCATCTGCCCAACCGCGGGCTATACCTAGCTGGTTCTCTTTTACGGTGGATCGCCTACTACCATGGACAGCCCCCACACATTAGGAAGATTAACCTGGAATATTAGGTCAGAAAGTTCGGGACTAGATGTGGGCTGCTGTGTAATCTGCACTACAATGGCGTTTCCCAATCAACGGCTACTGGTGCCGCATCCTATAATTTGGATTGGTCATGATTAGCAAGTCGCACGACCAACGAGGCTTACTGCAACGTCGGCTTGCGTTGATTTGTCAGTTATAGGTTGAACACAGACACCTCTTAAGCGGGGTAGTGACAGACGCGGAAGCATGGTTCGTTGAGTCGCAATGTTGTGTCGCCATGGAAAGAGATGCAGAAGACTGGCAATGCGGCCTCATTTCCCCGCTTCATTACTTCGGTACTTGATCTTGGCCAGGACGGCAGTATGTCCACCGAAAGCAGCTGCCTAGAGAATGGTTGTGGCCACACAACACAGGCAAGATGAACTATTGTAGCGTATGATCTTTAGGCGTTATCAACCGCATAAGGAAAGTGAAGTCTATCAAGGGTTTGGAAACTTCCACTTCCTAAGATATTAATTCATACATCACTGTCGTCTACTACCCAGATACAAAGACGGTGAACAATGCTCTTCGCCTTGTCTTGCTTTCAATCCTCATTCTAGTCCGTCGCATTAGCACTCGCATATTAACAAATCTATTGGTACTACCTATTGAAGGAGCAAGCAATTTAAGATATTTGCGCTGTGGGGCTTAATGTCCACTATTGCGGCGCTGTTGGGGTCGCTTTTCTAATTAATTAAACTTTCTTTGCTAAGCAGACGTAATGTCAAGTGATAGAGATGCTGTACAGTTGTTAGCCGGCGCCATTGCTCTTTCCCGTAAACTTTGCAAGGAAGAATAGTTACGACTCCCATCAGTGACACAGTTAGCCTCGAAGAGCCTGAGGTGGTGCGTAAAGTGGAACGTTTCAATGCCGAGGTCTTCGATGTGAAGAAGTATACGGACCGATGTGGGAGATAGCCATCTATAGATGGCCGGAATGGATGGCCATCGGCCAGAGCTCAGAACAGCTCCGCTTTTAGCAATTCGAAACGACAGAAACGAAAGTAAAAAGCGAGTCCAAAGTTTTCACGCAGTCGTTCTGCATCTGGTGAGGTGAGAAGAGGAATACATAAAAAAGAAGGCGGTATGCTCCGCTACCGGGGTTCGAACCCGGGTCCCCAGAATGTCCAGGATGCGTTTCTCTGAAAATCTGGTATGCTAAACCTCTACACTATAGCGGAAGTCTATGTGATCGTATTAATGTGACCTGGGAGAAATTCACAACCTGAATGGCGAGACAACAAACGCGCAACGGGAGGCTGCATGGTAACAGCAATCCCTGGTCCGCGCCAATCGGTGCGCAAAAGGACTACTGAAGAACGAGGGTAGGAAGAGCACATTGTCATTTGGGTTGCTTTGTTTTGTGAGCTCTATTCAAGATCACACGGGATTGCCTATTACACTAGCCTCGTGGTATCGGTCACAAACCACCGTCTAATCTAAACTCTGAACATAATACTAGATGATGGGTAGCTGAACTGGTGCTGGGATGATTGTGGGAATATCCGTATCTAGGTAATGATCTGTAAGGAGGAAATGGACGCGTGTGTCTATCTCCTCGATCTCACTCCGCCTTCAGGGCTACTTTATTAATCCCTTTGCGATCGAACGGTTCGCAGGATCAAGCCTGTCTCCCAGCCCCAGTTTCAGTGTTTTCAATCATGTCAACCCCCTCGTTGTCTACATTCTTCGCAACCGGCCTTCCATTCTCGAGCGCATTGAGTTCGCGGCTGAGGCCAGTAGTCTCGTACTTGTGGAAGCGCCAGGCGGGAAGATTGGCCTCAAAGAGTTCGTCGATCTCTTCTAAGTTACGTCCCTGAAAGGAAGAATCAATATCACTGGTGCGCAAGGTTCTGGGAAAGAACGGAAGAGCGATATTTGTACCTTTAGCTCGGGCATGCAGAAGAACACCCACACGCAACCGAGGAAGGAAAAGCCCATCCAGACGTAACCCAGTTTAGCGCCGAGGATCGCCAGAAGATACGGGGTGGTGAAAACCACAACAAACCCCACAACGACGTTAATCGCGGTCTAGTGTCATGGTTAGCTATGCATCAATAGAGGCGGGACGCGAGGAAAAGGGTGCCAAGAGGAAGGGCGTCGTACCGAAAAAGCCATGGTCTTTTCTCGCAAAGCAGTAGTGCCGACCTCCGCGGCGGTGATATACGCAGACGGTCCAAGCGAGGCGTGCAAAATGGCGGCATATATAATGAAGGAAGCCACCATGCCCTGGGTTTCACTCTGCGTTGGGCTGGTCTTGGAGCCTAGGGCGCCGATTAGCGCTAGGAACACGCCCTGAGTCCAGCAGCCGTGCAGAGTGAGGTCCCGGCGGCCGAAGATATCGAGGAAGATCATAGCAAGCATAGCGGTGACGACAGAAACGCCGTTGCTGATGGCCTGTTTGAAGGAGAAGAATTAGCATCCGTAGATGGGGACCAATGCGGCTCTCTATGTATACACTTACAGCGTACGAAAACGCCATGCTGCCCAAGCCGACGGAGGTGTAGAAGGTCGGGCCATAGCTTGAGGAGAAAGTCACTCCTGTGAGTTGTTGGAGTGCCATGATCGAACAAGCAATGCTGTAAATGATGTTAACAATCCCAGTCCCAATAGAGCGGATACTCTAGCCGGGGCCACCGTCCGACCAAGTACTGACCCAGTTCTTCGCAAGTTTTTCTTCGTAAACAAGTCCATCCACGGGCCTTTCTGGTTGACATCGGCTCGGTCTTCCAGCATGGCGGCGATCTCGAGCTCACACACCCCGTTGTCAACGTCTTCCTTGCGTCGCACCTGCCTGAGTACCTTAATCGCATCCTCGGCCCGGTCCTTGTACGCTAGCCAGCGCGGCGAGTCCGGCGTAAAGTACAAGCCAGCGAGAATCATAACTGCCGGTATACCTTGAATACCGGTTGCGATCTGCCACCCGGTGTTGTCTGCCTTCGAAGACATGGCCTGGTTGACAATACCAGCGATCAGAGACCCGAACGTCAGGCAGAGCTGAATCGAGCCGACGAAGAAGCCACGGAGCGCGGCAGGGGCGATTTCCGACTGGTACGTGGGCACGACCTGGGGGCAGGGGTTAGCGAGTACTGGTATGGAAAGGACGCTGATGACGACTTACGTTCTCTACGAGACCGACGGCTGTGTAGACGAGGAAGCGGCCAGCAACGAACTGGGGCGCACTGAAACTGGTAACTTGAACTGTACGTCGGATTAGCTCTCAATTCGCAAAAGACTGGACTCCCATGAAGGACTGAGAACTCACTGATGGCGCCAACGATCTGTACTGCGCATGTAAAAGTCATGGTGTAGCGATGGCCGAAGCGCTCGGTCAGAGGGCCGACAATAATAGCCCCAGTAAACTTGCCGAGCAAGGGAAGACTGTTCATAAGGGATGCGGTGGAACTGGGGAGCGAGTACTTCTTGGTTGTCCCATTGTACGAGCCAAAGACTTTCAGGAAGGGCTGAAAGGCTTGTACGCCGCCGAAGGAGGCGCCATCGCTGGGGCGGAGGTCAGTGGGTGCTCCAATCGCCGGCCGCACAGCCTGTGGAGGAAGACTCTCAACACTCACTATCCGAAGAAGACGCTGCCAAGAGAGTAGACGAGGCAGATGAAGAAGAGACGAGGGGTCGCGCTTTTGAAAGCGGACTTGCCCACGAAGATGTTGCCGCGTCCGCCTGCCATAGCTCACAAGTAGGAAGAAGCGTAAGTATGTACTACTTTTACGATCACTTCTGCGACAAGGAAACCTGAGGAACAGAGCACGGCGGACGAGTTCAAGACCGGAGCGAAGGGTAATAAAAACAGACGAGCCCTTATACCCCTCCCCACGCGGACACCGCTTCCGGGGCAAGGAAGCGCCCCCATACCCCCAGATATTCTTCCCCGAACTCTCCACGGATGTGGAGAATTTGGAGAAGCCCCAGCCAGGCGGCTACCCCATGGCTTACGCGAACCCTGTGGGTTGACGGGCGGGAATATAATGGCCACTCACATCAGAGGAACACTAGATCCTAGAAACCGGGGGATTGGCCTGCCGGCATAATCGGCATAAAAGCGCCAGGACATAGGGCGCTGGGCGATGCTTTATCCGGCGGGCTCACGGTGGTGCTGGCCGGGGCTGCGTCGCCTTGGAATCGATGCCTGTATGTGGTTCAGAGCATTGCCCTACTGCCACTAGTTCGAGAATTATAATCCACGCGTCTCCAGCGGCGTCGGAGTTTTGTCCGACGACTAGTCAACTAGGCCCCCACCTGGCAAGGCTACCCAAGCAACGCTTGTTTGGGCAGCTCAGCATCTTATAAGAAAAATTCCTAGTTGCCCCTCTACACGGCTGAGGAGGAGCTTGACTTTGGTGCCGTGAAAACGCCGTAGTATACTGCAGCCTACCCGCAAATGATCACAGCGGTGATGAAGATTTCCGGGGAGAGGAATGCAGTATCCATCAGGACTTGGTGTGAGAGGGGCTGCAGAGCCGTTGCAGTGCCAAGTGGATCAAGCTTTTTCCACGACAGCGGTACCGGCTCTGACCCCGACCTGACTTGCACTAGGACAAGTAAGGAACAGGGGCTGACCAGTTCTATCAAGGGGTAAAAGACGCTCTTCACAGACGGTACTTGTCACCATAGGTCAGAGTACTGATCCCAGTTGTGAACAAAGAAAACCTGGTTCCCCGACTCCGGGGACTAAACGGGGCAAAAACAAACCCTTCTTGACGGTGGTGTAATTTAAGCTAGGTATACGCGGAAGCCAACCACATACCTACCCCCCAAGCTTACGGACTGCCTTCCCCCACTCGAAACCATCCACGCTCACTATCTGGACCAGCACACACCCCAGGTTCGGAAAGATGGCCGCGAGCGAAGAATTCGAAGTGGTTGTCTATGGCTCGACCTCTGGCGCCGTAGCCACAGCCATTCAGGCCGCGAGACTGGGCCGGACGACGGCATTGGTCTCGCCGCGAGAGCACATAGGTGCAGATTCCTGCCTCCCTAGAGTCTATCCTGGCTACCAAGCCCTGAAGCTGACAACGGTTTACACCTCTTAGGCGGCATTCAGATCAATGGGCTCGGAGGCACAGATATTGACAACCAGGTCGAGTTCCAGAACAGCACTACGCTGGGGGGGCTAAACCTGGAGTTTCATCGGCGCATCAGCACGCACTATGGGCGCCTGGAACAGCTCGAAAAGGTTGTCTCTGGCAAGCTCAAGGACCCTGATATCTGGCGTTTCGAGTCCCGGGTCGCTGAGAAAATCATCGTCGACTGGCTGGCGGAGCTGCCCGGCATCGAGATCATCAAGGTGCTTACCCCAGGCGTCTCCATGGACAGAGGCCCCTTGGAGAGTCATAAGTGGTGCTAACGGGTCTAAAGTCTGCCCTGGTGGAAGAAGCCGGCGTAACCAAGGACGGCACCGTGGTCAAGGCCATCCAGCTCGAGAATGGCCAGGCAGTGGCAGGAAAGGCAAGTCTAGTAGTTCCTATTTAGCATCTTGAGCCTGGGAGGCGGCGGCTCACACCTGTCTAGGTCTTTGTTGATGCCTCCTATGAGGGGGATCTGCTCGCCGCCGCAGGCATCTCGACCTCGCACGGCCGCGAGTCTAGCAGCAAGTACAACGAATCACTTGCCGGCGTGCGCGACGTGACACCATACCGCCAGATCGATGTGGACGTGGACCACTACGTTCGGCCGGGCGATCCATCCAGCGGCCTGCTGTACGGCATCTCGCCCGAGCCGTTTGGGGCTCCGGGTGACGGCGACCTGCATCTGCAGAGCTTCTCATACCGCCTCCCGATCACTGACGAGCCAGCGAACCGCGTCCCCTTTACACAGCCCGAGGGCTACGACCCTGCTCACTACGAGCTCCACCGCCGCTTCCTGCGGGCCGGGGGCGCGCACTACACGCCGCGCAAGCGGCTCCCGAATGGCAAGACGGACTTGATCGGCTCCGAAGGCGCCCTGTCGACGGACCTCCTCGGCATGAACGACGAGTGGCCGGTCGCTTCGTACGCTGGCCGGCGCAAGATTATCGAGGAGACGGCACGCTTTACCAAGGGTCTTTTGTGGTTTTGGGCCAACGATAAGGCGGTTCCGGTGAGTCTGTGGAACAAGTTTCGCCAGGACGGCTGGTCCGGAACCTGGGTCGCGGTGAGTATACCACTAACCCTAGCGGGCGAAATAG